ACACCGGTAATTGAAAATTAAGAACAAGTTTGTCTGCAATAACAATAAAAAACTAACTAATCCGGCAATTAAAATCTTGAAAAAATATTTGCACAGATATGTTAGTGAATTTAATCCACGCTGGCGTTTGCTTTCTTTCTTTTTTGAGCCAGATTGTTTTGATGAAACGGATCCGGTATCATTATTTCCTGATAAATTTGACTGTTCCGCAGCAGAAATGTCATTATCATCAGGTGTTTGTGATGGTCCCGCACCGTCAGGAGATTCTTCAAATTTCAACATTGAAGCATCTCTTTTAAAAACTTTCACAAAACTAGCAAATTTGAATAACTATTAAATATAAGAAAATGTAATTATTTAAATATAAGGAAATGTAATTCTATCATTCAGTTAAAGTCACTATATAAATTCTATTGTCCACATAAAAAAAATTTTCTTACAATTCAATATTATAAAATCAATCTCTCAGCAAAAAACAATCAAGCACAGTTTTCTTTTCCTGAAAAAAGAAAAATGTGCTTGATTGTTTTTGAGTTATTATCATTATTACTATCTTGAGTAAAAAAAAAAAAGAAAATTGACGAATAAAAATTACCGTTGGCATTTTCGTTTACATTAGGTACTTCCATAAATCGTGTCATTACATGCTGTGTCATTACAACTTTTTCATATACGGCTTCTTCTTCTGCTTCTATCTAAAATAATTTTGAAATTGAAAATTAGAAATATTTAGATATTTCTATAAGATTATATTATTCCAATTCTTCTTTTTTTTGCTAAAATTTTAATGAAACATTCTAATAAATTTGGCATTTTATATAATTTTAAAAACATATTAAAAGACGAACAAAATTCTTTGACTAACTTCATTTTTTCACATACATTTAATTCGTTCAATACGATTTATATTTTTTCAAAACAAACATTTTTCAGTTAACTTTTACAAAGTTTTTTGTTTATCAGAAAAAAAAATCAGATCATATATACCTTGAGTTTGTAGAGAATTGATGGTAAATTATCTAATCCCTCCCAAGTATAGAAACTTTTGTGTGATTTTTTCATGGCTCCCAAAGCTTCCATAACATTTACCACATCGTAAATTCGACGCTTTTCAACTTCTGAAATTAAATTATATCAATCTAAGTGCTACTGTCATCTAAAGTTACTGTAATAATTAAACAAAGTTTAAAGTGTTAGGAAACTTTGGTACCATCTATGCCCTACATCAATTAATATCCTTCGATAGGACACACAAAGGGAAATATTACATTAAAATTTTAATTTTAATTAACAATAAAGTTTATGTGATGAGCTAAATATATCGGTCCTATCAAATTCCATTACTGCTAATCTTAATTATATGTTGAATTTTTCAAACTTTTAACATACTCATAGAACATGCGATTGTTTCAAGATTGATTTTATCATCCTCACAAACCACATAATCAAGTACTTCCAACAAAAATCTAAAAATGAAACCATTTATAACAAAATTGTAGAAATGATTTAGAAAAATTTAGAATCTATCTGTCTTTAACGTTTTTTATTTTTAGAAATAAAGATGAATCGATTCGAAACAAATATTTACAACTAATTTGAGTTATTTTCAAATTTTCGGGAAAACTTTAATTAAAATTATGTTCCATTCTTTTTTTCCTCTTCCTAAATATGATATATAAATTCTGCAAGGAAAAGATTAGTGAATAAAAATAAGGAAAATTCAAACAAAGAATAAATGAATTAACAGTAAAAAAAATAAATAAATAATGAAGAAAATATAAAATTTTGTACATTGTAAAAAAATAAAAACAATGGGAAAAATACCAAAATGTGGTAAATTTTTTTTTAAAGGCATTTCCAAAAAACTAATTCAAGACTATTTCCTAATAGCTTATAATTTAATATCAAAGTTGAAAAGCAATTAATGATTAAAAACAAACTTTCGACAAAGAAGCCCTAAGGTTTTTGTCTTTCGTGGAAAACCATTATTTGATTCTCCGGTACCGATTTGTTGTCTTGGAGCACTTCCAATTTGCTGATCTTCATTTCCACTCTGTTGATCTCTATTTCCATCCCTCTTTCCAGCTTCATTTTGATTTCTCAGATCATTTCTGTCACAATCAACTTTACCTTCATTTTCTTTACCTTCCGGTTCCGGTTTCTTACCATCATTACTTTGCTCTATCACAATATTTCTGTTTCTTCTGATTTTACTTTCTCTTACAACCGGTTCATCTGCATCACCTTGATCCCTGAGGATCTTTCTGTTCCGTTTTGTTTCAACTCTGTTCACGTCAGATTTCTCATCATTACCTTGATCATTACGAACGTTTCCGTTCCACTTGCTTTCATCATCGTAATTACCTGATTCATCATCATTATCTTGACTCGTAATAATCATTTCTTCATTTTCGGTTAACCTTTGAATCTTGAACGTTTTCCCTTTCCATTTGATTTTATGATCATTTCCGTCCAATTCTTCACGATCATTCTGACTAAGCCGAAAATTTTTGTTGCAATTAATTTCACGTAAACTTCCGCTTGGTTTTTTACAATGACCGCATTGACCACTTCCATCCTGTTTAACTTTCCGTCCATTATCATTCCACATTTTGTAGTTTCCTGAACCCATCGTGAAATTTTCATTCCATTTAATTTCACCTTTATTTCCACTCCAATTTTTATCGCTAATTTCCTCTTTCAAAGCCCACTGAATATGAGCTTTGTTGACGAAATTTCCATTCTGTTTTATTTTAATCCTATCAATGAGCTGTCCACTCTCTCCTACACCATTTCGTATTTTTAGAGCTTTCCGTTTTCGTGTATCATCGATAAGTGAATTCACATTCGAATTGATCGCTGAAAAATAATTCTTTTTTTTTTTTAACTGCTTATTTTATCATTTTTTTTTCTCTTTCTAAACCTTTACAATATGAATTGACTATTTTAGATAATTATAATTTTTAACTTTTAAAGTAAGGAAAAAAAATATAGAAAAATTTACAGTTTATATTTGTCTGAAACAGAATTTTTGTAATTTTTGAGATAACAATAAGAATAATTGTTTTGATTTAAATTATTGCTACAACGAAGTATACTTGAAATTTATCAATATCTTATATTGGAGATCTCCAATATTAAGCTACCATCTTACCATAGAAAATAACGTTACTATCATTGTAATATAAATAGGATAGGTAAAAAAAAAAATTGTAAGATAATAATTTTTTAGGTTAAATTGAAATGAAATGAATTGTATGAAAAATACTGGTGAAAGTGGTGGAACAAAAATATCTATTGATTTATTCCAGAAGGATTATTGTTACTAGTAAAATCTACATTACCGTAACAAACTGATTTATTATTTTCACTAGCAGTTAATTTTTCTTTCTTCCTATTTCGATATTATAAGTATACCATTTTTGTTTTTGAAATATCAAAAATGATTGTAAAAAACGCAATTCAGCATTTTTTTTTGTATCATTTAATTTGTTTTATCTTATAAAATTCAAAATACGAATGAAATTTCAAATGATAACAACTAATTATACCTGCTAATGTTGGTTGATTTTCATTCACCAACAGTCGCTTCGATAACGAAAAGCCCTCTACATTCTGTTAAATCATATATGGTAAGCAATCAGTTTTCAATTACAAATAATTATCAACCAATACTGTTAATTATTCAATCTTAAGAAAATATTTTAAATCATAACTTTCGATCTAACATTTGTAGACTAATCAATTTATAATATTATATTAAATTTTCATTAGAAAATATTTAATTATTTCGAACTATGACTTATATACATATATGTAAATCAAAAAGAAAAAAAGATATATACCTGAAAGACTGGAGCCAAAGAAGACTTGAACATATCTAATCCAGCAAAGAACTTTTTACGTTCCTCTGAAAAACTTGACATAAACAAGACATTCTTGAAAAATAATAAAAATAATAATTCATTTAATTAAAAAATGCTAGATTTTCTAATAGATTACTTCGGGAAATTTCCAAATAATTGTGCATTTGGAAATTCATTTCACCAAAAAATTTTACCAATCATTTTTTTTCTTTTTTAATTAAATTATTCAGAAAACCTCTCAGATGGATTTTTTTTATATAAAATGTGTTTATCAGTTTTAATTATATATTTGCTTAAAATTTTTTACAGTAGCAAAATTTTAAGAGTGAAATTCTGAGGATTCATAACCAACTGAACTTAAAATTAGATTACCAAGTTATCATGAGGAAAGTATTTTTATATTTTTGAATTTTTATACATTTACACTTTTGAAAGCTCAAATTTTACTATACTGTAGTATTTCAAATTTCAGAGTAAAATCACTTTATTGAATTTCCAATGAAATATTTATCTAACAAAAATTTCAGTTTTGGCTTAGTTTCTATTTAAATTTTTGTTAATAATAAAAGTGAACGATAACCTTTCCGACGTAATGCATTCTTGATGTATTCATCGCGTCGAGATCGACAATGTACTCCATCCTATAATTACGTATTATATAAAAATAACCAAACAATTGTATACAAGCAGTAAGTAATTGAATTCAAACTATCAATATAATTATCATTTATCAGCTTTATAAGTACTTGTCTAATCTTTTCCGCATACCTGTAATAACAAAGATTCGATTTTTTTTTTTGAGTTTATAAATTTTCATGAAAAAGAAAAAAAATCATCTAACAATCAATCATGAAAGATTCAAAGATTCTTGTGCAATTAACAGAACAAATAAACAATCTACTTCAGTTGAATGATTCTTTGATAACCGGGAATTACTTTCGGAAGTTGATGGATATTGACGCATATCGAAAATATGATCTGAAAATTCTATTTAATACAATTCTTTAAATTAAGAAAGAAAAAAAAATGAAATATCATCTAATAATGTAACTTTAAAGCACAATTATAGTAGAACGAATTAAAATCGATAGTCGATATATTTTATGTTATCATAGAAAATTTTGAACCATAAATCATTTTAAAAATTGTTCACTGAGTTCAGTTGTTTTTTTTTTTTAAATTATCCTATAAACGAAAGAAAAAGCTTGAAATAATAAAAAGTAGCAAAAAAAGAAATAAGAAAATAGTATAAAATTTCATAAAAATGAAAAAGAAAGAACATTAAGTGATATATCTTCTTAGATAAATTAGCTATTTCAAAAGGTTTAAAAAGTTTGAAAACAGGAACATTTCAATTAATTGTTAGCTAATCTTTCACCTTGCATGTTATTCTATAAAGAGAAAAAAATTATTCAAATTATTCATTCAATGATAGAATTTTTCAATTATGTGTTCATTTTGCTATTTTGTATAATTATTATTTCATAAAATAATTATACTTTAAATTGTAATTGTAAAATAAGCATAAATTGAATTGAACTACCGAACGAAACTCTAAATCACTTACCTAACAATTTTATTACCTTTTCTGTAATTTCTTAAAATTTAGATATATAACAGTTAATGGTTCTTCCAAATTTTTAACATAATATTTGTTAATTTGAAAAAAAATCAAAATTTTCGATCTCATTCCATCATTGATTTATACGTGAACAAATTACTATTGACTTAATTAATACTTTAAAAAATGAATCAATCAGTTTTCTGATCTCTTGAACTGCTTATCAGTTTTTTTTCCTCCCGATATTTTTTACAATGGAATCAAATAATTAACTCAAAATATTCCTGTTCCATCAATTACCATACTGCTTGTTTAACGTACTGTTATCGACAATTAAACAGTTCCAATGTTGTTTTGTTTGTTGGGCTATGGTACTTATCGGTTTTATTTATGTTTTACATGATTTATGGTTTATGCGTGGGTGTATATGTGTATGTGTGCGTATGTGTGTGTATGTGTATGTACACACAGTATTATCTATTTCGATAATCCATCAAAGGGCACTTATTCCGCTTAACCTGTGACCCGTACGAGATGTTTTCCTTCTTAAAACAAATCTCCAAGGAAACCGTTTTACCGCATAGCAGAATGAAATGGACCGATAAGTCGGATTCGGAAAATGGAATGGAAATATGATAGTATTTTTATGATAGAACAATGGGAAGAAAAAAAAAGAGGAAATAAAGAATAGATTAAAGGACAGAAAAAAAAAAATATTTGTGGTAAATCATTCTACCTTTCCTTTTCTCTCCCCCTCTCTCTCCCCCTCTCTCTCTCTCTCTCTCTCTCTCTCTCTCTCTCTCTCTCTCTCTTCATGGTCATCGATCAAAATCACACCGAACGGGCAGCTGTTTATCCTATCATACTGATTTCTTCAACCCTCCCTCTCCTCCTTCCTCTAATTAACTTGTAATATCCGGTTGTGAGAACTGATGGACTGACCATTAGCTATCTCAGGTAAAGAATCTCATCTGAATGACCTCAAAAAGAATTAATCTTTGATCATTTCAATCCGATGGAAATCTATTTTAAATTCATTAATGGAATTTGCTCATTTTTTCATTTACTGAAACATTTCTCTTTTTTTGTGTTTATTTGCTTTTGTTTTCGATTGTTTTTTTTCGACAAATGAAATAAGTCGAGAATTATAATTGATAGATTTATTTGGTAATGGCATACTAATGGCTACTCTCTATGACTGATTACTAACATATGATAAGAAAGGAATGGCTTTTTGCAATTAGTTTTCCTTTTTTCTTCTTCCAAGGGTCCTCATTCTCCATTCTCTTGCTATATTAATATTAATGATAAAAGTTAGCAACCAGATTATCATCTCTTACTATCATTTTAGAAGAATGATATTACATCAAAGTTTCATATCATTTAAAATTCCTTAAATTGCATTAAATAAATATATATGATTCCTGTAATTTAACTCGTTCATGCCTACATAACTGATACTGGCTAACAGTTAAAGATATCATTTACGTTCGTAAATGTTTTGGGGGAAGTATAAAAGATCAAATTACTTTAGAGGAAAGATAAAGAAAGTAATCCTAATTGCTTTATCAATTACTTATTTTATAAATCACATTCATTATGAATGTAATTTATAAAACAAATAATTGATAAAGCGCCTGAAAAGCTCCTGAAAATGATATCACTATAAGGAATATTTTGATGCTAAGCTTACAATTTACACCATTATTTACAAATTATCAAATTTAATTATATTGAAAAATTTATTATTTTTTGATGCAAGGGAAGCATTGTTAAATTTGAATTGAATTTGTAAATTCTGGTTTAAATTTTTGAAAATTTTATCAAACATTAATTTGAATGAGTTAAAAGAATTGTTCTATCTGTGAAATGTATCATTCACATTGTTGCAATGACCATATGGTTCGCTATCAAAACCGGAATAGCACTCTAACAGTCCATATAACAAAAATTAAAGAATCGATCTGAAACTATTCCCTAAACAGAATAATCAATTACAGTATTAATTGTCGAAGAAGCACAGTGCTACCCTATCACTTATCATAGTATTTACGTATATATGGAAAATTGAAATAATGAATGACACGCTAAAGGACTCAAAAATGAGGATATCATATGTCGTTTTTTATCGAATTGAAAATATTGGAATTTCTTTACATAAAAACAAATTAACATTATATATATTAAAGATACTGTAGAGGATAATGAAATGAAGAAGAAAAGAGTGAATAAAATAGCGTTACTATTAGTTTGAATTTAGATTGAATTCAATAGTTTCAATTCAAATTTTGAATGTTTTATTAAATATCACTGAAAAAAAAAAGAAATTAATTCGGCTTTATGAAGGAAAAAAAAGCAATATTTCCGCGATGTATTATGATAATTCGTTTTTTTTGTCCAACGATACAAAAAATTATATTTTGTAATTCAAATTTCAAATAAATTTTAGTTCTTTAATTGAAAATTTTACGAAAATAAATGAAATGCAAACAAATTTCAAATTTTGCCAATAATCAATTTATTTGAATTGGATCGGATAGGTAGCGGTAGATGGAAGCGTATGTACATTGGACAATAGCGCCGTAGGAGGTGATGATAGATGGATGGGTACATTGGACAACAGCGCCGATGGGTACCCATTTCGCGCCTAAATGAATGACAATCTATCGGAGAAAAGACATCAGATGGTTAATGTTACCTATCTTTTCTTCCTTCTCCTTCTCAATCTCCGATCTCTTTCTCCCTTTCTCTTCCCTTTACTCTCTCTCTCTCTCTACCTCCTTCTTCTCACTTTATCCTTGCGTCTTTATCTCTCTATCCCTTTCCCTCCCACTCTCTCTCTTTCTCTTTTATAGTATGATTATGTACAGTTAGCTGCTAACTAGATGTATTCGTCTCTTACCGGGAAGGTCAACAATATTCATTTCAAACCGATTCCATTGAATTCAAAATTTAAATCTAAAGAAAAAACAAAATTATTGCATTCATCATTGAAATCAGAAAAGTTTATTTTTGGAATTGAAATCCGAAAAATTGTTTAAAAATATATTCCAATTGAATCCATATTATTCTAATCTAAAAGCTCTTTGTTAATCAGATATTTGGGAATTTCGAAAAGATATTCTATTCATAATTTAATACAGTCTTAAAATTTCACTAAACTTCAATTTTGAAAATAAAATTTGCAGTTCGAGTTCAAAATTCAGTACTCAAAAAAAAACACGGCTTCAGAATCGGAATTTGTAAAAGTCCTAAATCTAAAATATCAATTGCCATCAAAAATATTTCATTTAGGATTGGTATTTTAAAAAAGAAAAAAAGTGAAATGAAATTATTGCTGAAAGAAAATCAATCGATTTTTAATGAAAAAGAGAAACGTGAAATGAAGAAATAAATTCACGTGCTTTAATTTTAACAATTCAGGATATGCTAATTATATAATTCAGAGTTACGTTAAACTATTTCAGTGAGAGAGAGAGAGAAAATTGCAATGAAACAAATGAATAAAACATTATATCATTTGTTATAAAAATTCCCTCATATGACTTTTTTCAAATTTAATTCCTATAAATGTACTTAATCACTCATTACTTATTTTTTCAATAGCTATTTCGAGAAACATTTATTAAATTCATCAAGAAAAAAAATCTCAAAACTTTTTCCCTCCCATTAAGAATATTGCGGGGAAGTTCGAAATTACATTTGGCGCGAATAACTTTCGATTAGGCAAGAAGGATAGGTGTTATTACGCTACCAGAAGAAATCTCTCTGTCCTTCATTCTATCATTAACCTGAAGAGGTGCCAAAAAGGCGGTATTCAATCAAAAGATATCGTCAAGAGGTCACATGGTTATTCATTTTAATTCCTTTCCAGAGAGAAGTGGAAAAAAAAAAGCAAAAAGAAAAAGAGTGATGAAAATCTTTTTAAATATTACATTTTTTCTTTTAAAACTAGAAAAATTTTATTTTTTTATTTCTTTTTTTTTGGGAGGGGGAGGGGGGGAGAGAGGGAAAGGGATAATGGAAATTTTCCTTCTATCATTCATTTCTCTTAAATTTGACCTTTGTACGTATATTTTAACGTCAAATATCAAATCATATTCTCTTTTTCCTTTCCTCCTTTTTTCTTTTCTCTTTTCTCGCCTTTATTAATAACATTGAATGATTTTTTGATATTCGTTCATTATCTTTTTGTTACAGTTTAGAATTATCATTATGATTAATATAACAAAATGAAATATTGATTGAATTTAGTTTAATGAAGCTTTATGTTAAAATTTATCTAGATGAAATTAACAAATGTGAGTTAATTGATATGATTAAGAATAGAACAAATTGTTAAAATACAAAAAAAAAAATAAAATAAAGAATGAAATTGATGAGGATGAATGTCACATAAAACT